TTCATGATTTTTGTTGTTGTTCAGTTTACATGTTGCAAAACATGTAATAAAGTTGAAGTCAAAATTAAAGAGAACCTGGACTCTATTGTTGCCTAGGTCTGGAAAAGAAGGACTTCCGATGTGGGTGCCCCACTGCTTTATGCAAAAAGGTGGTTTTCGCATTTTGGGTGGAGTGGTAGTTTACAGTCCTCATCATTGCGGACCGGTGGGCGTGTCAGTGCGGCTGCGTTTGGCGCGGTGCCAAAGTCGTTCTGCACCAGTTGTTGAAGCGGGCAAGTGACATTACTGTATTATATCCTTCGTATTACTCGTTTTCTACCACTTTTTGTCGCATACGCGTTTCAACAAAAAGGCTGAGAACGGCTTCAACAGTGTGCACACTCATACTGGCTGACACGCCCCACCGGTCCGCAATGATGAGGACTGTACCTAGCTAAGAGATGAACTTGATCAACATCAGTGAGGAAGACTCAGAAGAGTAGCGTCTGGTGTCTAGTTTCCCCTTCGGCATTCCTTGAATGTATTCGAGACAGTGAGACATTGGCCTCGGTGTTATTTTAATCAATCAATGACCATTATTGTTCGTTGTTTTGACCATTGTCCTCGGCACAAACCGCGTTTTACACATGGTAACCGAAGGAGGAGGCAGTCTGTATCTGAATTCGGAGGCAAAACTGTAAGCAACATGAGGCGGAACAAGGTAATACTGGGAGTCAGCACGTATATGTTGCAAATTCCATTTCAACAGGCTCGTCCCCGCTATTCTTCGATACACTTACTCTTCTATACACATTATCAAAACCATCGTGAAACCACAATTGCAGAAATCTAGTCACCGCCCACCCTTGCCCTATCGTGGCTATTTCGTTATCATCGGCGTGCAGTGCGGCGCAGTGTGTGCAGAACTTTTAAGTTGCCGCCTTTTTTGGACACGGTAGTGGTTTGATACTCTACTGAAGTTACCGTTCCGTCCACCTTACGACGACTGTAATATTGATTGGCATGATCGCATCGGGCGACCAGCAAAGGTTGATGACGCGTTCTCTGAAGGATTTTAAGAATCTCGATGGACCAGGCAATTTGGAAATTTGAAAGCATGTTGAACATAACTATCAACCCGTTGCTTAACACCTAAATCGTGCTGATAATGTCGCGAAACTCGCAGCTGAGATATCTCATGGACTTGCCATTCACCAGTCAAGTTCCTTAGCGGGTGTGTTTATGCAACTTTTGGTTTCATATGGACCTTTAGAGAGCTGGAAATACCGCTACCGGATAGGAGCGGCGGGTGCTTCATGTCAATCAACACACAAACGCCACTGGCTTTACATAATCCTTCAGCGCCGTAAAACCTTATCCTTACCCTATCATAAAGAACATGATAAGCGGTTTGTGGATTTTTCAAGGAACAGACTGGGAACTTTTGCCGATCGGTTTACAGGATACAGCATGGTGATGTGTGAAACGGCGGCCGCCTTATGATTCTATGGCAAATTAGCGGTGGAGCAGATCTGTCAGCCGGGTGGAAATGCTAGGGCTTCTCTGGGATGATAGCTTCCTTAGGTGTGGGGCTTTTGAGAAAGCGGCATGTTGAAGCAATGTCTCTACTGTTGCGTTTCCTACCTACTCGTAATCTGAATCTTCTCCCGTTCATGTATTTCGGAGCTTTTGCAAAACTGACGATGCCATTAGAACGCTCAGGATTTCCCTTTCAGAAATTTTTGTCCATGCGAGCAGATGTTTGTTTAGGGTTTGGAAAGGTCGATACGCACGAATCTGTTTGAGATGTATTATTTAGTCATCTACGTACTTACGAGTTCATGCTAACTATTGATATTGCTAATCAATTGTTTTAATATTTTGTAGTCTTCCTTACATTCGGGTCCTCTGCAGCTTTCCGTCCGCTCCATCAAACTTAGCGATGACACTTTTGTGCTGTTTGGTGCTCACCGACCCTGCGTTTACGACCCCTCCCCTCCCCAGCGGCCAAGTATGACCCCCCCCCCCTCCCTCTGATAGATTTCGCACAACGATGCTGTAGCCTGTCAATTTCACCCTCCATGATGACTAGGGTGCTCAGTTGGATAGGGTCATGGAACAACTCCGAGGGAATAAGGCAGAGTTCTGCCACTTCCAGCCCATGCCAGAGCACATGTGCCAATCAAAGACAGTACCCCATTCATATGTCATCATCATTATCATTCATATATCATGGATAGTTGCAGTTCAGTTATGAACCAGTATCTGATAAGTGACTCCCCACAAAAGAGAAAAAACAAAAAATATCCGCGAACACTGTAAACAAAATCCCACGAACGCTGTAAACAAAATCCCTCCTTGACAGTCACAACGCCCTGCGGTGACTGTGCAACTCCTGGCTCGTTCGCCTTTGCATCGCCTAGTATTGAATATCGTCCAGTACAAAAAAAAACGAAAACGAATTCAGCAAAAACGCTGAAGTAGAAATAAACGTTCGAGAACTCTGCGCAGGAAGTTAGGATCACAGAAAGTAGTGCACATCCTTTGCACCAACCATTTGCTTCACTGGTAATTTGAGATAGTCTTACCTTGCCACATGGACTGTTGACTGTATTGCTCCCAGTGAAGGAAATGTATCAAAACAGAGCAGAATTCTTGTTGGCCCATAAGTAATGGCGTTTTTTCCCCACATAGATCTTTGCACAAACACAAAACAAAGTAAGCATAAACGTAAATTGATTTGTGCATATGTACTATGTACTGTATGTACGTATGTACTGTATGTACGTACATATGTGCATACCGGTGTGCATGTAAATAATTTATATACAGTCCTCATCATTGCGGACCGGTGGGGCGTGGCAGTGCGGCTGCTTTGGTGCGGTTTGGCAAAATCGTTCTGCACCAGTTTTTGAAGCGGGCAAGTGCATTACTGTATTATATCCTTCGTATTACTCGTTTTCTACCACTTTTTGTCGCATACGCGTTGCAACAAAAAAGGCTGAGAACGGCTTCAACAGTGTGCGCACTCCTTCTGGCTGACACGCCCCACCGGTCCGCAATGATGAGGACTGTATGTACAGAACGATGAATTGAAACTAATTCAATGCCGTCTAGATAAATCGTTTCCTTACGTATTTACACTGTTTATTAACCATATAACAATTGAGAAGTTTTACTAACTTTTTAATAATTAAATTATCACATAAACGATTTATTCCTTCTTTTCCTTACTGATGAGCACGAGAAGGAGGATATTACAAACGGTTAGTCTCCGTCTAAGGGCACATGCGAAACGGAAACTATGTAAGCTATCTCTTCGAGTCATCTCCTCTAAAACTACAATGGAAGAGAATTCTATACAAAGACTATGTCATCAATATATGTACTATGCGAAATTAGGTCAAAGTTGATTATTTTATGTGGAAAGCGAGAATCGCTTTCTAATGTGCTCTGTACTGTTTGATAGACAATTTTTTGCTCCATGAAACAGTATAGTTGCCTTCATTCTACTTCTTGATTTCTGTCGGCTCAAATGGAGTGCCGGATCGGGACGACACAGGAGTGAATTTGTGAAAAACAGCTACTTGCATTTTATCTAGGCTCTCAAATTACAGAAGGAGGCCAAAACTTAAGATACATGTGACCAAGGATTTTTCTTATGACAGCTTGAAGTTGACTAAAGCGATCAAGAGATGGGAATTCGGACCTTGTTAATGTGCATGGCGTGAGGGCTCTCTTGGAAAGCGAGCGGAACCTATACATTATGTAACTTTCGAACGTCTAACATCAACGGAGGGCGGTGCTTAATTATGACAATGAAACATTCAATGACCTCTGACGATTCCCCATTCTTTGGCATGAATCACCGTAGTCCAATAAACTCTCAGGGGACTCAATGGGACACTAAGTTCGATTCTTATCTGTGACACTGAACTTGAAATTTCTGAGTCGCTTGAACCGTTGTAAGAATTTTCTAAGAGACATAGCTTCTTGGCCATACACTTACAATTAGCAACTAAGCCTGTGCGACTAAATATTTTTAATTGGAAGCAAAAAAGAAGGGCTGTCAAAAATGCTTAGTTTTGTTGACCTGACACTCCAGTTTGAGCACCTGAATATTTAAGAAGAACTTCAAAAAAAACCAAGGGTACAGTCGTGTAGGGCGAGGAATTATCTGCACAGTGTGAAACCCAAGAAAACTTCTCATCTTCAGCGCGATATTTTGAGTGAGGAAAAAAATGTCATTACTTACGGGCCAACCCAATACTTACGAGCATGGAACCGGTCGGCAAAATGTCAAGCAATTCCGATTCATGCACCCGCCGCAATAAGCAACAACTGAGCGCCCCTGCCTTAGGTAGGGAGAGGGCATTCGCCGGATGGACGATCCAATTGAGTGGGTGTGAGAACGACAACTTTCCGTGGCTGTAGCACCCTGCTCACTCGCTGGGGAGTGACGAAGGTGGGACAGCCTCTTAGCTCAGAGGATGGCACTACTTGCACAGGGAAAGACGACCACGAATTACTTGAGCACGGGGACTGCCTTTAAAGGCAGCGCCCGCGTCCATTTGATGTTCCTACTCCCTCCTTAGATATCCTAGCTCTGTCGGGAGAATGTACTGTTGATTTCGCAGCTCAAAAATACTAGAGGATGGCACCGAGAGGATGGCGCCACCCGCTTGTGAAGAGGATGCCGCCCCGCCCACCTGGCTGCCATAACTGCTTTGGCTTAGCCTTTAAAGGCTGAGCCCGCTTTCAAGAATAATGAGTTATGGAGCTCATATGATCCAGTAGTGAAGAAAAAAGCAGAAAAAATCATGGAAAATGCGCTCTAGAGAACCTCACGCTGGTCAAGTGGGTGGAGCGGCCGACACATCACTAGCGAACGGCCCTATCTTCTCGCCTTTTTGAGATGCAAAACTAACACATACTGCATCCTCATAGGGAGGGCTATGATATCCAGAGAGGACGCGCGAACATCAAATGAACGTGGGCGCTGCCTTTAAGCTGCCGAGAAATTACAAGATTCGGCTGGGCAGTTTTGCCACATCTGAAAAGTAAGTTGAAACACTTCTTACTAAACCCCATTGGCAATCCCATTCTCGAAAAAACTTACAACTCACTTAGCATTTGGCAGCGAGCGGGAGATACTAATGATAAGTTGGGCTTACTTTGCAAATGGTGAGAATTCAAATTCATTACAGAAATTGTGAGAAACTTTTGACCAACCTCTTTCTGAGGAAGCACCCGTCAGCGCCTGCTTTCAGTTACAACGCAATTACATCAACTCCTAAGCATTATCTAAGCTGGGTTAGCGTTGGATAGCAATGGATAACCACCAAATTTGACTCCTAAACCTCAGCCTCATTCTTAGGTAATGCCAATTATGTGGGAGCTAACCACCAACGCAAGGCTAGCATTCCAAACGGGACGCTGAATGCGATGGGTTCAAAAGGTCCTCGCGCTGTGCTACTCGTAGCCGACCTAAATTCTGGATTTGGTAAGGTACAGTAATTTCACCTCCTTACAGCTTAGGTGATGGGTAAGGTGAGATAGAAGGTTGTTGTTAGAATGTCAGACATTTGGTCGGATAGTTTTCGAAGTGATTCCCATTCATTCGGTTACAACAAATGGTGTAAGACACATGTGAATTGAAGGCAGGGTCCTCGATAAAAGGCTAAAACCTTTCAAACGTGCTTGATGACCGGGTAGGCACCCGCAGAGGATGTACTATATGCAAAAGTTGAAAATTATCAACCAGAGCGCAAGTTCGGTTTTAGGGCCGTGGGCGCCCGATAGGCCTATGCCGGTCTCCAGTGCCCGTGCCGTCCGGTGATGCAGTAAAAGGGGCTTACTGCGAGCGGTTTTTCAAGCTTTCTTCTCCTTCAGTAAGTCAACAAGCACACGGCAATTCTATTTTTGAACTGTATTACTTATGAAGTGCGGTCGCGCAAATCGCCTCTGAGAATATTGGACACTTCAGCATCTGGACCTCTTACGTGACAATTCTACTCTTTCTTCGGAAACGGATAGTTTCTCAGAAGCACTGGGACTTTGGGAGAGGTAAGCCTAACTGTGGGTGATGAGAAGGAATGGGCGAAAGTATCCTTCAACCTGTCAGAACATGGTTCTTATTGATTCGGACATTTGAAATGGCTGTTGAGAAGAAGAGAGGGACCCAAAGGAGCTGAGGAGCCGTTTTGCAGCAATGGTGGAAGAGGATATGCAGCTTGGCGTTTGCTTGATGTTGTCATAGAATTTGGCCCGAACTTGTGTTGATTTACTGGCCAGCGAGATTGTGCGCTTGACCTGATGATGGCGTTTGCGGGTATGTGTGGAAAGAGGTATTACTGACTAATATCTGCGCTAACTCTTTGATCAAACACGGTCATGCTGTGCTGGCATGGAAAACGAAGCCGCAACCATAATCTTGGGGCTCACTCGCTCGTCTCGGATGCCTAATATAAACACGGACGGATCGCTCAGTCGGGCGAGCTTCTATCTTCCTCAATGAATTGGGTTGAATTCGCCGATTGACAAGACGCTGAGAACACCTGTGTTTGTTACAATTGTCACACATCACTGCGCTAACTCACTGAAAGTACGGCGTTCGACTACAAGATTCACTGGCTACGGTAATATGTACTGCCCATATACTATATGATCTGAGACGAAAAAACCATAAAGTGCAATCAGGGGCTCATAAACTCGGAGGGCATTTGAAGGACTCTCCGAGCAAAACTGAAATCACCGTAATGGAGATTTGTGGACTTTTGCGTGAACCTAAACAGAGAGCTCATTGGGCTTGATTCACTTCCGATCACAGTGACTTCATCCAGGTCACGTTAATCCCAGTTTTGCGCAGAATTCCTAATGCCCACAAGCTTGTTAGCGCGTAAATTTGTATTAATTCTAAATAATACGCTGAGGTATCTGCAAAAATCGCTAAGACAGCTTGTCTGCAGAGCTGCGTTCCTAGTAAAGAATATTTGAACATTCGTGCCCTTCTAACAATTTACTCAAGCTGCCCCTTGCGAAATAAAATGAACTATATGTACTCAGTGGTGCAATATCTCTAGGAAATGTTTTCCACTGTGACTTTCTGAATTTTCAGTCCACTTGCATGCATTTATTTAGTTGCTTGTTTGTTTCTTTATCTATTTGTTTAATTATTATGTAAACGTACACTACAATTGTGCGCCCTAAGGAACCACAAAAGAACACAAAAAGCGGAACTGCTGCGCTCTCCTCTATAGGGTGAAAAGTGGGCCGGTACCATGCAAATGGGACTGGTAAGGACACTGAAGTTTTCCATTGATAAGGAAAAGGGACTAATTGTAAGTACAGTAAAGGTCCAACTCGGCCTATGCAATCGCGTACTGTAACTCTGCAAGGCAACAGCTTACAAGGAATAGCGTGTGTACATAGCGTCGCGGGAGGCGTCGAAGGGCGATTTTCTATGCTCTTACCGGGAATTGAGCATTTAGAATCCTGCTGTGTGGGCTTGTCCTTATGATGAACTCGTTCAAGGCGCCGGCCCTTTGCTTGGGGTCTGCGCTTAGGATGTTCCCAAACTCTCTTTAGCTTCTTTCTCTACTGATGAGCTTTTGATAGGCTACAGGTTCATGACTGAGCACGTGATACCTTTGACACTCAATCGCAGAAATTGTCTTTAAGCTGTAAGAGGTACATGTGAGCAGCTAACCAAGCAGTTATCCTTAGCAGTTACCAGCTGGCTGTGGTGTCCTCGTTCCTGAAGGATTTCTTGAACCATGCCAGCACTGGGTCTGCCAACCTCTCGCGTTAAGCTAACATCGTGGATAGAAGAGAAAAGAGTGCAACTGCTAGACCATCATTCAATTTGTAGATGTAGATTTCTTGCTGTATATCAACACATGAAAAATGAGCAACGGCTTCCCAGTACAATTCACGTGTTCGTAATATGGGCCTTGGGATGACCAGCGCAACACATGAGATACAAAAGCAGAGAAAAAACAACATATTGAGTATACAGGGTGACCAAAAAGTTCTGGCAATTTTTCGAAATACTTTGGAATTATAGAAAAACCATTTAATTAACTTAATCAGCGGAACTAAACTTTCGGAAATCTTCACTGAATCAGTAGCAATAACGGTGTACAGAGAAATCACAACATGTATTCAAAATCGCATCCTTTGACCTCAATACATTTGCTCAGTCGCTTTTCGAAGTGTCCAACAATGGTCGCGCATTCTTCTACTGTAATTTCGTCACAAGCACGCAGTAATGCTGCTTTCAAATGATCCACCGTCACGCATTGGATTCCTGAGATTTTCTGCTCCAAGATAGACTAAACGGAGTAATCCATCGGGTTCAGATCAGGCGAGTTGGAAGGATAAATGTCCTCGCCCCAAAATCCCGGAAGCAGCTCTTCGCAGGTGGATTGGGCAGACTGTAGTGGAGCCCAGTTTTGCTGAAGCACAAATCCATCTGAACCAAAGTGCTGCGACGTCCATGGCTTCAGTACATCGCGAAGAACGCACTGTTGATAGTTAGCAGCATTGATTTTAAGGTTACGGTCGATGAAGACGAGTGGAGGTTTTCCGGTGACACAGATCCCAGCCCAGACCATGACTGAGGCTGGAAAGTGCCTATGGCCGACGGGTTTCGCTGCCGTTGTCTTCTGCTGACCCTTCTTGAGTAGTACAGACAATTCTGGTGGTTGTGTACAGGCTCGATCGTGGGAATTTTTCGTCGGTGAAGAGCACATTTTTCAAGCGACCAGCACCGACCAGACGACGCATCCTGCGAGCTTCGATCTGGGAAGCAAAGGAGGCAATTCTGAACACATGTTGTGATTTCTCTGTACACCGTCATCGCTACTGGTCTAATGAAGATTTCCGAAAGTTTAGGTTCGCTGGTTAAGTTAATTAAATGGCACTTTTACGATACCAAAGTATTTCGAAAAATTGCCAGAACTTTTTGGTCACCCTGTATAAAACCGAAAGTCAGCTTAGTAGCCTTTCATGCCGAAACTAGGGAAAGTAAATGGAAAAAAAGAAAAAAGTTTCAATCGAGATGACGGTGCAAGCGATTTCGAAATAAGCAATATTTTTTGGTAGCGCGAATGATTTCGTCAATTTAGAGAACTGAGGCTGCCCTCGCTGTGAGAAATTCAGCCCTGACGCTTGTTTTCGGATCTGGGAACTACAAACTTATTCTTCTCTCCCCTGGATGATTGAGTTGCGGAGGGTGAAAAAAATCTTGAAACTTGATGTTTAGCTTTCCTGTGAAAGTATTAACGAGATCAAACATTTTACGTCTGTACGAGAGGGAGCCAAGGCCTAACATCTTGTTTCTAACGATCCTCTCGGAGCTGAATTGTAATTGAAACCAAAAGCAGGAATCAAAATTATCCTCGTGATTGACATCTATCGACATTGCCACTATCTTGAACAGTTTCCAGTTTTTTAACGTTATTTCTATTAGGTTGGCAACTAAGTAATTGCGGATTTTTTTTAGAATATCAATGACAATTTTTTCATGGAACGAAATAATTTTATTCTGTAATGTATTGCCCATTTTTATCAATGACCTTTTGCCATCTTTCAGGCAGCATCATAATCCCACGTTCATAAAACTTCTGGTTTTTATTAGCAAAAAACTGAATCAGGTGCGATTTGACATCATCATCATTATTGAAATTTTTACCATTCAAGGAGTTTTGTAAAGAGCGAAACAAAAAGTAGTTCTCGATGGTGGCAAAGGTCAGGACTATTATGGTGGATGTGGCAAAACATCCCAACAAAGCTCCAATAATTCTTGCCGAGTGCCCAAAGATGTGTGTGGCCTTGCATTATCATGATGGAATACCTCACCTTTTCGATTTGTGAATTCGGGCCGCTTTTCTTCAACAGCATTGTTTAATTTCGTTAGTCGTTCAATGTAGACATCAGAATTGATCGTTCGGTTGGGTGGTAAGAGTTCAAATGTAGACAATTCCTTTGTAATCCCACCAAACTGATAACAAAACCTTTTTTGATGAATATCAGCTTTTGATGTTGTTTGAGCTGGTTCACCTGGCTTGCTCCATGATCTTTCCCGCTTGGTATTGTAGTAAACAACCCTTTTTCATCGCCAGTTATCAGTCGTTTTGAAAATGGATCATTTTTGTTAGGTTTCTTAGGCAAATCGCAGTTTGTTGATGCGTTTTCTTCTTCGGGGGGGTTCATGCAGGAACCCATAGCATCAAGTTTTTGAACAAGCTGTTTTAAATGATTTTCAATGCATGTATTTGACACATGGAGGTTCTCTGCGATCTCGCGTGTTGTCTTGACGATCCGAATCGATATTGCTTTGATAAGGTCGTCATCAACTTCAACTGGACGAGCCAGAGCGTTCTTCACCTTGAGTGAAAAATCACCAGAACGAAATTTGGCAGACCAATTTTGAGACTTGGCCATTCTTTAAGCTTCGAAAAATCCCAGTAAAAGTTACACCATTCGAATCCCCATGAAAAATGCTATCTATCCATATGAAAATCACTTCATGGGCTTTTCTATGAGCTTTCGTAGTTTTTCCCGGCTATCTGCCCTGTCAGCGATCAACCGAGTTATACAGTCGTCATCCGGTGACTTGATTTGAGCGGCAAGGGGCGCGACGCGGCTGCGGTGTGTTGCGATCAGCTGTTTCCAGCCTATTTTAGCCATTTTCTCCCTAGTTTACGCTGTTTTGGCTGCTTTTCTCACGATTATTTTCTATTTTTTCTGAGGTTAGTTGTTCTATCGTCTATATGAAGTATATTAGGACGAGTGGGTTTTCTTTTGTTTTGCAACAGAGTGTTTTTGCGCTTTTTTCAACTACCTGCTTAGCTGTTTAATTGTACGCAAAAACCAGAAGAATCTCAATCATAATTTACCTTGTGAAGACAAGAAACAACTAATCGTGAGAAAAGCAGCCAAAACAGCGTAAACTAGGGAGAAAATGGCTAAAATAGGCTGGAAACAGGTGATCGCCGCGCTCGCAACACACCGCAGCCGCGTCGCGTCCCTTGCCGCAATAATCAAGTCACCGGATGACGACTGTACCACCAAGGTGTCAGGTCATTGTATTGATCTGTCTCAGAAATTTCATCTACCAACGTGGTCATCAACGTGGTCTCTTCGATTCACTATTTTGTTAAAAATTCGTGAGAACTACCGTTCTAGAAAATGTTTCTTATTTCAAATTTGAATTTTCATCGAAATTTCAAAAATTTCGTACTTCGAATTACAAATTCCTCCATCATTAATTAATGTTCGTTTTCTTGAAAACTTTGCATATAGAATGAAGGATGCGCTAGGTTCCACTATGCTCCACTGCTTTAAGCGATTCATTTCGCTATAAGGTTTACAAGGGCTTGAAGTGCTCATAAATTCTCAAATGTTACCCTGAACTTGAAATAGAATCATAGCAAACATTTTGTCGATAAGTTAATTAAGCCTTGCAATGGAATCTACTCCATTCAAGCAGGTTGTTAAATCTTAAGCACATTAGGCTCGTAATCTGTGGGTGTACGCATATAGTTTGGGATGACCTTATAATTACTTTTTCGCACCTCGGCATACTTGCCAGTGGGATACCCCCGCTTAATTGCTTACGCTGACTGGTGACCTCTCACTGCCAGGCTCACTCAAGACAGAATAACGAGATATGGAATAAATAACTTTATACTTGGTTTATTAAAATATCATTACATAAGCAAAGGTGGCAATAAAGCGAACTAAAACATGAAAATACAAGCATTCCAGAGTCCCGAGAAAAGGAAACTACGCAGCCTTGTTAGTGACATATCGCGACATTTTCTTGAAATTTTTGTGAATTTTCGTGTCGAATTTCGAATTTTCAAATGTCGAATTTTCTTGTGAAGTAGTTCGCTCGTGCGAGTTTGCGTGCTTTTAATACCAATACTGGATGGCGTTTTTTCACGCATTAAATCGATTCACATGGTTTACTGTGTTGTCTGTAATACACTGCGAAGCATAATCATAGTTCCACCCATGAATCTCACAAAATCCTGTCTTACACGAAGTTTTCCAAAATGCCCCCATACAAAAAATGTGGTAATTACCAATACCAATTCGCATGCCAACAACCTAACTTGAAAAAAAAACAATTTTTTCGTCAATTTTTTCAAAAATGGTCGTTCTGACAACGCAGCAAAAGTATAGTTCCACCGAACAAATCGAATATTCCAACAACAAATGTACAATAAAATGAATAAATTTTGATCCAGTAATCTATTGGAACTCTATTTCTCCAATTAAGTTGGAAAATACGGTTGCCCATGTTCGATTAGATTTTAATAGGCTTTCGGCCGACTGCCCCAATGATTAACTCCCTAAGCTCACGGACATTGTGGAATTGTGCATTACTCTCATGGATCATACGCACCATGAAGCCCCTCACATCCTCGATTGGGTTTTAGTCGGGGCTACTCGCTGGCCAGGGCAAAAGAGCGGTTTGGTGACAACTGAATCACGCTCGAGTGCTTCGACTGTCATGAACTGGTGCATTATCCTGCATGAAAACGGAACCTTCTTGCTGATTTCCAGTCAGAAAGCAAAGAGAAGTCGTCGCATGACTTTTAGATGACGGAAGAAATCATTTCTTTTTTTTTCATGCGGAGCGCATTTTCAGACGTTCCATTGATGCGATGGCAGCCCAGACCATGAGACCACTGAATTCCGCCCGGAAAAATGAAACTTGTCTTCCCTCAGGTCGTGCCAGCCAGGAATCGGTTTTCATCGGAAGCCGTCGCAGTTGAATTTTTTCTCATCAGAAAACACGACCGCGAGAAAAAAAAAACTGAAGAAAACACTACAGACAAGCAAGTAGGGCACCGCAGCCAAACCAACACATCACTTGCATTGGTTTCGGCAACATCTTTCGGAACAAAAGCCCACATTAGGTTTCGGGTGGTTTTTTGGTTAGAAACGTACATACACTCAGTACCTGCTGCCAGCCCCCGCCCCAACACACCCGCCCACTTCTTACCGCCGGTCGTGGTTTTCCAAATGTTTTATGAATTCTGCTTCGACTTTTTCTCACTTTTGCTAGTTGCACACACACTTCAACTGAAAAGGATTGGTACCGATACAGATCTGACTCCGCCCACTTCACAATGAAGTGACGTAAGTTCTGAATTTTTATAACTTTTTTCGACGTCGTTTTTTTCACATTCAATCTTCACAAAACGAATATAGCCATGCATTTACACACTAGCACACTAGGCCCCGCCCCTCTGACCACGCCCACTTTCGTTTTTCGCGGAATTTTGATTTTTCTTCCGAATGTTCACTTTTTTAAGCGGCCCCGCCCACTAATGGAAGATCTGCTCACTTTGTAAAAGCCCCGCCCACTTTAAAAATGATGCAGATCGGCGAGCTAGTGATGCAGGTTATGGCTCTCCGTCACATAGTATGAAAAAAAGGGAAAGACCAGAAAAAAAGGGAAACTTCGTTCCGGGTGGTATAACTAGGATGATCGCTGACAGGGCAACTGCGAACTCATAGGAAATACTGCTGGAAAGCACATGACGTTCTGTACGTAGGTTTTTTATGGAACTTATGAGGCCACTCAGAGAGCTAGAAATCCTTTTGAAAACGCTGAAAATTCGAGTTTTTACCCTAGTATCGCACAAAGTGCTCATTTCAAATGGCTAAGAAACCTTACTTTTTGACTCGAGATTTTTTGGACTGAAAAGGCTATATCGTCCGAAAATGACATCGAGCAAAACCCCTCTATTTCCAGAAAAATTGGCACCGTAATGATCAGCATCATTTGGAAACACAACTATCTAATTTTTAATCACTTCTTACGCGATACAGTACGTTATTTGATTCCTGAATGATTTAATTCCCAACGATTACCCTCTGGTTACAATTATAGCGAGACTCGCTCGCTAACGAGTGTCCTCAGGTACTTCTACAGGGAGCAGACTTAAATTCTGCACTTTTTCAGGATAATATCTTTTAGAACTCGACGAACTGAGTCTAACAGTGTAGGTCTCTATATGAGAAAAGTTCACACAAACTGAGTTATAGCAAAAAAAACAAAAAAAAACGCGGATCGGCGTCGTTTTTGCTTTTTTTCGAGCAATCACGGCGGATATTGTACCTTCTTGAAAATTCTCGAAAACACGGCAAATATGGAAGAAATAGTGACAGGCCTGTAGTTGTCAGGATTCTTGCTTGAATTTTTTTCTCAGAACCGCTGTAACGAAGGTTCCTGTCTCCATCTGTCTCCATCTGTCTGGGACCTCAGCTCCAAACAGTCTCAAATTGAGAATGTAGCGAAATGCGAACACAATGAAAGGGGTAACTTCCTTGACGAACGGGAAAGGAATGCCATCTTGAGTTATTGCCGAAGTTGACTTCCACCGAGAAAAAAAACATATAAATGTCCTGTTCACGAAATCACAAGGAGTTGACCATTTGTGGAAATGATCCCTCCAGATGCAGCTTCTGATCCTCAGAGTCATCACGGCTCACGAAGATCTTTCCCCATTGAAGAAATTCTTTAACACCGCCAGCACTTCTGCACACGGGTGTACGTACTCTCCCATCGAGCCAACATCATGGATAGAAGAGATAAGAGGGCGATCGCTCTACTATTATTCATAGTACTGTGAGCTGATCGATGCGCATGGCAAATCGTAGCTACCAGTCAAACTTGAAATTGAACATCGATGAGATTTTCACTGGATTTCCTGAGTGTGAGAATTTTGAACCCCTAGTACTCGGCAGTTTTATGTGTCGGAGGTGTAGTAAAGGAAGACCTACTCAACCATCACTCGAACCATCAAGCAGCGTTCATACTTCGCGACAGCAGCGGCGATCGCGGCGATCGTAGCGATCGCCGCGATCGTCGGTACGCAACAGAGCGCGCCCCAACGCTATTACTTGGACCGCTCTCTGATAAATAAGGAAATCCAACTTGTGAGACTTTTTTCTCTAATAATGGCTACTAACTAGAAACTTTCTCTACTTCAGGAGGTATCTGGAATATGAGAAGGGGGTTTCACCTTTTCGAGTCGGAATAAGGGCAGCTTCATTTGGTAGTAGGTGATTTTTTTGTTTCCTTTGTTTTTTTATATGAGTGTCTTAAATTTCCTATTGGTTAAACTGTTCCAACTTCCAAAACATTTATAGTTTACAAGTCGAATTCAAACAACGAAAAAAAAAGAAATAGAATGAAACCCACCTAGGAATCGAAACACTAATGTTTTATGCAACATCAAGGAGGAGGAAACTTTATAAATTCATGTATAAGCTCGAAGAATGAAAAAAAAACATAAGAAACTTACCCTAAATGAAGCTCCCACGCTTTTTGCTCATTTCTATCCTGAATCAAAAAAGAAAATAAAAAGAAAAGCCATAAAGTTTGATCCACCTTTCCTTGAGTCAAAACAAGCTTTCAATAC